ATGGTTCTTCATGGTTAGTTTGGAGTCAAATTTCACCCCAAGGATATCAACTTCTTCTCCAGGTGCCAACATCCTCCCATTCATCCTTACTACTGCACCAGCATTACCATCATGGTGCCTAGAGACGGTCATCATTTGCGTTTTCTCAGGTGCAAATGTTACTTGCCATCTATTTCCCCAAGCTGATATAGCTCTCAGCTGGTGATTGATGTAGCTTAGAGCAGCTGGCATTTCTTCTCTTGGATAAGTGAATGTCAGTGTACAGTCGTCTGCATATGCATGTGATTCTGGGATGAGATGAAGAAGGTCGTTGAAGTAGACATTCCATAACAATGGACCCAGCACGCTTCCTTGTGGAACACTTGCCCCAATAGGATGTCTTGCTGATTCCGTTCCATTGAGAACTACACTTAGTGATCTACCATGAAGGGAGTCACTGAGGAGACATAGCGTAGAGCCTGCAATTGCAATTCCCAGTGCTTGAAGTTTTGCTAAGAGGCCCTGGTGACACACCCGGTCGAAAGCGTCAGCAATGTCCAGTGCTACCACACAGCTGACTTTGGATTCATCCAGTGACTGGTGCCACTTAGTGGAGAGGTTTAACAACAGAGCAGTAGAGTAACCTCTCTCTCTCTCTCTCTCTCTCTCTCTCTCTCTCTCTCTCTCTCTCTCTCTCTCTCTCTCTCTCTCTCTCTCTCTCTCTCTCTCTCTCTCTCTCTCTAACTCTCTACCCCTCTCTAACTCTCTAACACACACTCTCTCTCTCTGGTTGTTGTCTGATTGGCTTGTTTGTTGGGCGGTTGGTTGATTAAGATTAGTTTACTAATGATTAGCTAATTGATTGGTTGCTTGGTTAATTACCTTTATTGGTTGACTGGTTGTTTGCTTGCTTGATTGATTTTCTAATTAGCCGGTTGGTTGAATGATTGATATGTTTGTCTGTCTGTTGGTAGGTTTGTTGAGTGATTGCTTGCTTGGTTAAGTGTCCTTTTGGTTGACTGGTTGTTTTCTTGCTTGATGGGTTAGCTAATTGGCTGTTCGGTTGAGTGATTGACAGGTTTGTCTATCTCTTGGTATGTTGGTTGAGTGACTGGTTGCCTGGTTGTTCGTTTAGGCTGGTTGACCACGCCAGGATGCTCGTCACATCAACCAGTCAGTGAAAAAATTTTAAACAAGACATGAAGATTTCACTTTCTCTTAATTTCCCTCGCTTTCTCTCACTTTCTCTCACTTTCTCTCACTTTCTCTCACTCCACGCGGTCAGCTGCACCAAAACAATAAGACGCTAACGCGATATTTACGACCGGGAATCTCGGCCTTAACGACCCGCTGGGGCCTGCAAGAATATCCCTGTCCTGCCGCCAGGATGCTCCCTGCTGGATGCTGAGTCAACCTAAACTCCATTCCGCGTTATACACAGGTTGTTTACTCTTGTTTGCTCGTTATACACAGGTTGTTTACTCTTGTTTGCTCGTTATATACTGGTTGTTTTCTCTTGTTTGCTCGTTATATGTGGGTTGTTTGCTCTTGATTGCAAACAAGAGCAAGCAACCCGCAGAGAGGTGGAGGGAGAGAAGTGGAGGGAGGGAAGTGGAGGGAGGGAAGTGGAGGGAGGGAAGTGGAGGGAGGGAAGTGGAGGGAGGGAAGTGGAGGGAGGGAGGTGGAGGGTAGGTAGTGAGAGAACAACAAAATGTTGTGAGGAAAATGAAATGGTCAACGAGGATAAACAGAAGACAATAGAGCGATAAACTGGCCTCTTCTTCCTCTCCCTCCCCCTCTCCCTCCCCCTCTTCCTCTCCCTCCTCCTCTTCTTCCTCCTCTCCCTCCTCTAAGGTAAAGCAGTGTAATCGGATATCGGTCGGAGGGCGGAAGACATCGGTCGGAGGTCGGAAGAAGCCGCTGTACCTTATCGGAATATCGGAGAGTGAGAGGAAGTGGATGAGTGAGAGAGAGAGAGGGAGGGAGAGAAAGAGGGAGAGAGGGAGGGAGACAGGGACGGAGGGAGAGAGGGAGGAGAAAAGATAAGGGGGAGTAAGAGAGGAAGGAGGATCATGTCCTACACTGTGTGTCCCTCCCCATGTGCTACACTGTGTGCCCTCCCATGTGCTACACTGTGTGTCCCTCCACATGTCCTACACTGTGTGTCCCTCCACATGTCCTACACTGTGTGTCCCTCCACATGTCCTACACTGTGTGTCCCTCCACATGTCCTACACTGTGTGTCCCTCCACATGTCCTACACTGTGTGTCCCTCCACATGTCCTACACTGTGTGTCCCTCCACATGTCCTACACTGTGTGTCCTTGTGCCCTCCACATGTCCTACACTGTGTGTCCCTCCCCATGTCCTACACTCTGTGTCCCTCCCCATGTCCTACATTGTGTGCCCCTCCCCATGTCCTACACTGTGTGTCTCTCTCCATGTCATACAATGTGTGTCCCTCCCCATGTCCTACACTGTGTGTCCCTCCCCATGTCCTACACCGTGTGTCCCTTCCCATGTCCTACAATGTGTGTCCCTCCCCATGTCCTACACTGTGTGTCTCTCCATGTCATACAATGTGTGTCCCTCCCCATGTCCTACACTGTGTGTTCCTCCCCATGTCCTACACCGTGTGTCCCTTCCCATGTCCTACAATGTGTGCCTCCCCATGTCCACATGTTCCTACATACATGTGTGTCCTCTCCATGTCCTACAAATGTGTGTTCCTCCCCATGTCCTACACGTGTGTCCTCTCCCATGTCCTGCAATGTGTGTCCTCCCATGTCCTACACTGTGTGTCTCCTCTGTACAGGTTCTCCCTCTACACTGTTGTCTTCTCCAGTCATACATGTGTGTACCTCCCCATGTCCCATTTAACTCCACATGATATACAAAGTTTATCCAGTCTATGGGTTCTACAGGTAAAAATTGTGATATGTCCCATAATCAAGAGAATAACAAATTCCAACTACTATAGTTCATGGAAACAACTGGAGGAGATAATAATAGAACAGAGTATACTACTGACTCTGGCCATACAATAGAGAGGAAAAATAATGTAAGGGACCTGGGAGTAGTAATGTCTGAGGGATCTCACTTTCAAGGATCACAACAGTGCCACGATCACAGTGCAAAGAAAATGATAGGATGGATAATGAGAACGTTCAAAACGAGAGATGCCAAGCCAATGATGATCCTTTTCAAATCACTTGTTCTCTCTAGGCTGGAATTCTGCTGTACATTAACATCTCCATTCAAAGCAGGTGAAATCGCAGATCTAGAGACTGTACAGAGATCCTTTACTGCACGCATAAGTTCTGTCAAGCACCTTAACTACTGGGAACGCTTGGAAGCACTTGACTTGTACTCGTTGGAACGCAGGAGGGAGAGATATATCATAATCTACACTTGGAAAATCTTGGAAGGAATGGTCCCAAATCTGCACACAGAAATCACTCCCTACGAAAGTAAAAGACTGGGCAGGCGATGCAAAATGCCCCCCAATAAAAAGTAGGGGCGCCATTGGTACACTAAGGGAAAACACCATAAGTGTCCGGGGCCCAAGACTGTTCAACAGCCTCCCATCAAGCATTAGGGGAATTGCCAATAAGCCCCTGGCTGCCTTCAAGAGAGAGCTGGACAGATACCTAAAGTCAGTGCCGGATCAGCCGGGCTGTGGCTCGTACGTTGGACTGCGTGCGGGCAGCAGTAACAGCCTAGTTGATCAGGCCCTGATCCATCGGGAGGTCTGGTCATGGACCGGGCCGCGGGGGCGTTGATCCCCGGAATAACCTCCAGGTAACCATGTCCTACACTGTGTGTCCCTCTCCATGTCATACAATGTGTGTCCCTCCCCATGTCATACAATGTGTGTCCCTCCCCATGTCTTACAATGTGACTCCTTCATCTCTTACAATGAGTCTCTCTCATGTCTTACATTATCTAACAACGCGTTTCCCCATGTCTAACACTGCTTGTCTCCCCATATCTAACACTGCGTGTCTCACCATGTCTAACACTGCGTGTCTCACCATGTCTAACACTGCGTGTCTCACCATGTCTAACACTGCTTGTCTCCCCATATCTAACACTGCGTGTCTCACCATGTCTAACACTGCGTGTTCACCATTCTAACACTGCGTGTCTCACCATGTCTAACACTGCGTGTCTCACCATGTCTAACACTGCGTGTCTCACCATGTCTAACACTGCGTGTCTCACCATGTCTAACACTGCTTGTCTCCCCATATCTAACACTGCGTGTCTCACCATGTCTAACACTGCGTGTCTCACCATGTCTAACACTGCGTGTCTCACCATGTCTAACACTGCGTGTCTCACCATGTTTAACACTGCGTGTCTCACCATGTCTAACACTGCGTGTCTCACCATGTCTAACACTGCGTGTGTCCCCATGTCTAACACTGCGTGTCTCACCATGTCTAACACTGCGTGTGTCCCATGTCTAACACTGCGTGTCTCACCATGTCTAACACTGCGTGTGTCACCATGTCTAACACTGCGTGTCTCACCATGTCTAACACTGCGTGTCTCACCATGTCTAACACTGCGTGTCTCACCATGTCTAACACTGCGTGTCTCACCATGTCTAACACTGCGTGTGTCCCCATGTCTAACACTGCGTGTCTCACCATGTCTAACACTGCGTGTTTCACCATGTCTAACACTGCGTGTCTCACCATGTCTAACACTGCGTGCCTCACCATGTCTAACACTGCGTTTCTCACCATGTCTAACACTGCGTGTGTCCCCATGTCTAACACTGCGTGTGTCCCCATGTCTAACACTGCGTGTTTCACCATGTCTAACACTGCGTGTGTCCCCGTGTCTAACACTGCGTGTCTCACCATGTCTAACACTGCGTGTTTCAAACCCTGTCTAACACTGCGTGTCTCACCATGTCTAACAACTGCGTGTCACCATGTCTAACACTGCGTGTCTCACCATGTCTAACACTGCGTGTCTCACCATGTCTAACACTGCGTGTCTCTCAACAG